ATTTGGCTATCATTGGATAAAACAACAACTCTGAGTCTGACTCTGAGTCAGTATACTTTGTATCGAGTTGGGTATCCAAGTTAAACTCCTCTAAGGTTTCCTCCTGGACTAAAACCGGGTTCAATTTGGAGTAATTCAAGCTTCCCGTGCATTAAACATCATTATCATTGTCGCTTAAATGGGTAACCATGAAGTTAAAAATGACTTTCCGCAGCTTCAAGATAACACAACACGCAGAATCTTACTTAACTGATTCGAGAAGAAATTTGATATTTTACTTCAATCTGCTGACGTCTTTGAAAACGATCATGTGGAAATTATTATATGAAACCTCAGCATTCTAAATGTCACTTTAAAAACAGGTTACGAAATGAACTTTAAATACCTCTAAATCTTTCCAAATCAATTATTTGTGATTTTAATCTTGTTTTCATATAACTTGCATGGAACAGTTAAGTAAAGAATAGATAAAGTACTTTTTCTGAGAAATGCAATTTGTAGTCATTTCAATACTTTCGATAAAATGCTTACGTGCCTGAAATACCACCATCATTTGTCAAAAACGAACAACTGTAATTTTCAGCATCAAATATGAGAAAAGCTTACGAAACGAAATAATTTGTTTTCTTGAATACATCCTGCCGGAAAAAAAGAAAGAAAAAATCAATGTTTGATGGTAGCTGAATATGAAACAAAAATGAAATGGTTATTCATTGGTAGACTGTTTGATGCGAGTATCATATTTGTTTTGAACATAAAGTTTGCTTAAGTTTGTTTCCAAATACTGACTTCCCAAATACGACAGAAAAACTTCAAGGATATTTAGTTTCATCATTTCAAAACAAATACAACTGTTTTCCCCTGATCTCATCATAACTCGAACATGATGAGAATGGACTAAAGCATTGAACAATGTGTTCAAAACATCGTCTATGAGTTGGAAACTGAAACCTGCTGATTCAAGTATAAGCCTATGGATATGCTCTTGTTTTGAAATTGCACCATCTTGGTACCCATCACTGTTTTCATCGTCTGCTTATCAAAAGTAAGTATATGAAATGAGTAAAACATCGATAGATGTATATTCATTACTTCAAAAGGAAACGAGTCACATGATGAGAATGGATTAATCAATTGAACAATGTGTTCAAAGCATCGTCTATGAAGCGGAAACCTGCAGATTCAATTATAAGCCTATGGATATGCTCGTTGTTTTGAAACGTGCACCACATTGGTAACCATTACTGTTTTCATCCTCCGCATATAAAAAATAGTTATTTGATCGATTAAAATATCGATAGATGTATTTTAACTACTTATAAACGAAATACAAGACAAGCCACAATTTCGGCGTTTTGGCCATTACAAGGCTTCGTTAAACATCGGATGGAAACCGTTTTAAAATTACACTATGTTATGAAAGATATTTTCCTGAGGAAAGCAAATTATAAACTGTAAACCTCATTATTTAACTACTGCTCAAAGTTACAAACTGACAAACTGCATATTGAAGTGTTGTCATTTGCCCAAACGTTATACAGGAAATGCAGATATCATGTATATAATCATGTTATCGGTTTAGGTCCTGCAGGGATGTTTATGGCTTTTAGCTCCCATTCCGACACCATGCGCAAACTTAGGTATCAATGTTCAATCAAGTATATATCATGAAACCTTTTGCTGCAAAATCCTCTAAGTTGAAAACCAAAGATATTATGTTGATTTGAAAAGTCTATCACAGATATGAGTGGCGGACTTTTTACATTTTGCACTCTCGGTGAGTCTCCGCATTGCCTGTGATGATCAAGATAGGTGATGAGTGTCTGGCTCATCCAACTGGCAGCCAGTCTGTAATTTACTTCACAGAATACTGAAGGTTTCCCCACATCTGAGCATTGCAGTTTACCTAACGCCATCGTCGCATTCTGCACTATGTTCATTCCTCTGAGAGCATGCTTTAAACTGTTAAACTGAAAACGACATACTATTGTGAATTATATGAATATCACACATGCAAAAAACATGAAAAGCCTTTTCATCCCTCACAAAAGCAAAACGTTCTTCCACGATGGCTGAAATTGACTTACATACTACTCAAAAGAAGTTAAGGGTCAAACGAAATATGCACATCAAAATTAGAAGAGGCAGTTTTGAGACTAATAGGGACAGGAAACGTTCTGTATGGGTGTTATTTGGACTGAAGACACCGTAACTTTATGAGAAATGTTATCATTACCCGTTCCATTAGATAACTGTAAAATGTAACCGTAAATTCGGACTTCTTGTTTTCAACCATAAACTCGGCCACACTCAACTGACCCTGGTCCTCGAAACAACTATTATGCCACCTAATGCACATTTTACACGTGCTTTCCATGGATGTCATTTTATGCATGCAAATTTTCACAATAAAAAAACAAGCATTTTCGAATCGGCCTCATTTGACATTTGAAGATGGACAGACGGCAGCTCAGCATCCAAGACAGAGGGAGGTCAAAAGGAGGGCTTCAAGATGGTCAAACCCAAAGAAGTTTTGCTAGGCGACTAAATGTAAGCCAGAGTGTTATCGGGGGACTATGGCAGAGGTTCAGGACAACAAATGCTGTGCAGAATCGGCAACGTTCCGGAAGACCTCGATCAACAGCCCGTGATGATCGCTACTTGATGATGAGGGCTTTGCGACAGCGATTTATGACCGCAAGACATCTTTGGTTGGTGCCGAAGGCATGTCCGTTCGAACCGTGGTCATTTGGCACAGACAATCTGTTCTGATGAATCCCGCTTCACACTCCAGTTTAATGATGGTCGTGCCGTGTTTATCTTTGTCAACGAGAGAGGTATGCTGACGTCAACGTTGCCCAACGTTTACCTTTCGAATGCGGAAGTGTGATGGTTTCGGCGGGTATCTCAGTGCACCACAGAACTGCTCTCTACATCGTCAGTGGGAATTTGACTGGTCTTCGATATCTCAACGAGATTATCCAACCTCTGGTAATGCCACTTCTTCGTCAACTTTGAGCAGGCGCCTGGTTCCAGGATGATAACGTTAGACCCCATCGTGCCAGGGTGGTGACAGACTTTATGCAGCAGCAGAACGTTTAGCACATGGTGTGGCCTGCTTATTCACCCGACTTGAGCATGCTGGGGATGAGCTTGAACGAATAATTCGAGCTTATCACGTCCCTGCCATCAACCTGCAGGAATTGGGTCAACGACTAGTCACAGAATGGTCACCAAGCCCTCAACAGTATTTTAGTCGTTTAATGAACAGCGTGCGTCAACGTTGTCAAGAATGCATCCATGATAACAGTGGCTACACGAGTTACTATAGAGATTTCTGGCATTATGTGAACTCTGATTTTGATGTACTTGACTTCGATGAATTGTGGAATAAAGTTGTGCCTTATCAATTCACTTTTTGTTTTGTGTTTCTTAAGAGCTTGAGGTTTTGTTTTTGTCCTTGGTTGTCACAATTTTATTTCCATATCTTATATTTATATCTTATACATATCGTATATTCCAAAATACTTGTGACCCTTAACTTGTGACCCTCCCTTCTTTTGAGGAGGTGTGAACGGTGCCTTCAAAATTCTCTGCAGCTAATGTCGTGAATATTTATTTACCAATCCCAGCAGGATTCCTTGAATTGGCTAGAGGTCTGGAATAGCATAAATGACTTCAGTATTGGAAATAGCGTTCTAAAGAACTTCATTGACCATGGCAGTTTTGTTTTGAAATCTAGTAATCTCATATGTTTGTATGAGCTGGAGAGGTGCAGTAGCGTTATCAATTTATATTCATATTCACTGTCCAGACTGTTAAAACTTCTGCATGATAATTTTCTCGCACTGCATTTGTTGTGTAGTAAACGTCTGTCCAAAGAAAATCGTTTGAACCACTGGTCGCACATAAGTAAAAATATGGTACAGCTTGTTCAGCTTGACCTGATCAAGTGAATACTAATACATTGCCTGACCGTGTACCATCTGGTTGGTTCTATTATTGTGAAGGGGTGAGTAGCTCAGATCAAGTTGAACAAGCTGAACAAGCTGTACCTACGATTCTTACCCTAGCCTTTCGATCAGCATCAGGGCATTGTAAAAAGAACTTCATGGCTCAGGACCAGCATAATTTGTCTGAGTAGGGTATCCATGTTAAACCGGGCGAAGTACCTTGGGGGCTAACACGATAACATGTGTAAGTCTGGCATAAGTGCGGACTCGTACAAGCAATCAAATACACGCGTATATGCACATTACTTTTACAGAAACATACTTTGAAGGCGACGTTAAACTCAGTTTAACCGTACCCAATTCATTGAAAAAAACTGAGTTAGTAGATTTTGTCGCCTAGCGTGAATGAGCTGTATTTTGCAACTATTACCAACATCTTTAGCTGAATCACGGCTTTGGGTTTCTAAATGACAAAAACAGGACCGTTTGAAACAGATCATGCATGGAAAGTAGTTTTGTTTTAAAGTCAACTTTAAAATGAAACGACTTTTGGAGGAAAATACATTGGTCGGGCCATTACCCGAGAGTAATCGACTAACGCAAATAAAGCCATTGGTAATGTCCTTATAGTTGTAGTTTGTTACATCTTGCAGACAAACTAAAGCTGTTAGATTTTGTAGAAGACTAGTTGCCTGTTTCCCCGTCGTCATCACGTTTCTTCGTTCTGGGGTTGCTTACAAAGAGGTCGTTCCAACTCTCTACACGTTTGTTAAATCAGTCTTAACGGTATTGTTCAATATTGCAATAACTGGCTGCCCTCATTTAATAGGGACAGTGACTCAATGTCTCACAGGGCACTAATTACACTGTCTAGACCTTGACTTGGAATGGGACTTAGAAGCATATTGTACCTTAAACGTAACATCGATGCGGCAAGAGATGATGCTCCGTTCCCTCATCAATGGCACGTCTCACTTCTTCCCATCCCATAGCATGCAAGAGTAACTCAATACTGTGTATTCTGTATAGATTTCGCTCTCTTAAGAGCTTATGTGGTGTAGGCATGTTGGGCAGAATGTGTGTTTGCAGACCTTCGAGGTGTAGATAATGCAGGCAATATCCCTCTCTGGGAACGATAACCGGGGTATCACTGAACAAGGAATTTTGTTTACATGTGTGGTCGTTTTAAAACACTTTTTCGCTTTAAAAACTCTTTTCTGTTTAAGCATTTTATCACTGTGAATATGAAGCATCTCAAAAGAGAATTATCAATTTCGATTGTCAGTTGAAACAGATTACATTGGTCGAAAACGGCAAACCAAATATGAAGAATGGGTCATCGATAAGTGATGACACCAGGTGTTCTCGACAATGGTTAGGATGTCCTGTACCACCGGTAGTCTCATGGTGTACTCGTGAAGTGTTTTGGTCTGTTGCAATCAATTGATCGCTCAAACTGGCTTTAATGTAAAACATAGGAACAGCTACTTGCCCAAACTGAATGGTAGCTATATGCCAATTTCAAAACTTATGTGATATATTCCATTGTTTCCTGATACTGCGTTCGAATCCTTGAGTCCGCCGGATCAACATTCATGTTATGTTTAGTTTAAACAGATGGTTTTTTTATGAAAAAGATTAGTCGAAAGTTACTGAGAGTGTCCTCTCCAGAACATTTTCATGTATGCACATTTAATAATTTTAATTCCCAGAAAGGAAATCATTCAATCAAATCTGTGATATTTCTCAATTATGTTCCTGCTGGAGATATTTAGACAAACTTATAGATTAGTTTGAAAATACCCAAGGTTCCCCTGCAGGTCAAATATATGGCTGTTTTCATGGCAATGGCTGTTTCTCCCTGACGATGCAAAGAAATAATACTGGCGAACGTATTCAGCGATGTGTATTGCTTGAAAATTTTAAGATATTTCAATATTCCAATTAAACGCACATACATGTTTAACAATTATTCGCTGATAGACTCCATACAAGTACAAAAGTATTCGCATAAACAGAAACTTGTTTTTGACATTGTTTCTTTACGTACGCATTGTATGTACTTATATCAACGCATCCCACGTAATCGCTTTTGGTAATTTGACTCAAGTATGTCAGTCTAAGAAAGTTTATTGAGTGAGACATCGTTATATCTGACATGAGATCAGAAAAAAAATTATATATTCAGTGTAAACCTCAGCAGACGCACCAAATGCCTGAAGGAATTCATACTATCTATCAAATGTGCTTGTTCACTGTCGCGAACTTCATGGTAACTTCAACAAACTTGATAAGATCATTGATATCATTTAGCTTTCTGTCCCTTGTGTCTCACAACATTCAAGGAAAACAGTTCAAATATGTGACCCAGCTTTGTCACGCTTGCATCCCGAGTACCACGCTGCCGAACTCCTCATTGTACTCGGTGCCTTAGGTTTAGTACCTCCCAGTCTGTTGATTGATATTGGGAGGGTGTCCTGTTTTTGCAGCCCGGGTCACAGCCCTTCTGATACTCTGGGTAATTCAGAAGGCTGCATTTTTGGGGAATCATGAAATTGTCCGAAACGTTCCTCAAAGCCCACATCCGAGAGAAACTTCGGGCTGAGTAGAAATCTTGCTTCAGGAAAATCCAGATTATCAGAGCTGAATGCTTGAAACAAAGTCAAATCCACAAATACGTTTGCTGTGCAAGCCCTTTCCTATTCCTTTGTTGAAGTTGATTGGACAAAACAAGACATTCTGAGTCTTGACTGAGTCTGCCTGACAACAGAGCCCACCACCCTCGTTCTTCTCTTAATCGTTCATATATGCCAATCAATTCGGGAAGTCGAGGTTTGATTAATGTGGATGCTCTTCATGATAGACTTTTATTTATTCATCTGATGATCAATTGGTGATGCATGTCAAGACTCATGATGAGAACGTGGAATTCCGCAGCTAGTCTTAGTGTGACAAGGTTGTCTCAGAATTAATATTGATTTTCTTGAGGGCGATGTACTACTGGAATACTGTGAATATTAATAATACTGCGTCATATACTCACCCAAAACTATATTTACCCGTTTAATCGATCGGTGTTTTTATTCTTAGATCCCTGGCTGCCAATGAGGTGCTTCAAGTCACTTTACCACATGATCCAACCAACAAGAAATGTCGACGCTTCATAGCTTTATTATGCACATGTCCATATGGTAAGATATAACCCTGAAATATCGATACCAACAATGGATAAGTTTTCATGTCCTCATCAATTACCAATTATAAATAAAATCACTAAAAATGACTTGACGTAAAGGCCTGACTATAGGTACACTGGAGAAGGTCACTGAAAAAAGTGAAATGTTTTGCTTTCATGTATGGCTACAAATAGCTGAGGAACTGTGTATTGTCTTTCTGTTAAAGCTTCGTTAAACCTATTTCTGACTTCATCTGGTAACCGTATCGTTAAGCCTTCAAGGTATGGTAAGGTAAGGGGATACTTTAAAAGACATAATAGGCTTAAGATATTTTTGTTTTGATGTAATCCCTTTCTAAAGGGACCCGGTATGGAAATATTATATTCCTATGACGCAGGATGATCAACAAAAGCACTAGCGAGGAAAATACTTCTGAATTTATTGATTTATATCCACAATTCCCCCAAATGATAGTTTGTCCATAGTGCAATCACCCCTTCGGGATTGTTGTGATACATGCAATCAAACACTCTTTACTTGAAGGTCATGAGAAATAGTAGCTCTTGTTGCCACTGAAAACAATACTGAGAAAATACATAAAATATATTATAAAGCAGCAAGGAATAACTTTACAACTAACGTTATTTAAGAAATACAGTTCGCTCTACCACCATGTATATAGTGTAATAAAACACACTTTCGCCCTGAACTATTATAGTTAAAGTACGAGGACGCTTGCGTCCTAGTGCTTTAACGTTATAATACTTCAGGGCGAAATGTTCTAAGATGCCAAATTAATACTTTCTAAGCATAATTACGATTAATTTAAGGCAGAAAACAAACGACGGTGTCGGTGACCTAAATTAAGAATCCTCGCACAGGGCTAACTGGCACGCTGTTCTATTGATGTGTCTGCCCCCCTACGTTAAGACGAACGTTACCAGAAAAAAACAAATGATAACAGTTTGATGACGGTTTACGTTCGGATTAAATATCTTCTCTGAATTATTTTAATTACATCTGTCATTAACGTAAACCAAATGGGGGAATATGAACGTCGCATTTCTACTACCAACGTAAGTTTAGATCAGTACATCCAGATGAAGCTGAGTAGTCAAGCGACATTCCACGATTGCATTGTGGGAGTGTAAACATTGCGAACATTACCGTGTCGATGAAAACTTGTGAGTCGAATTGACACATTTTAACCGTCGTAAAACATACACAATGTTTCCACCAGCTGCGTGAAGCAACTGCAAACCAAACAACGGGATGCAACGGAGTAGTTTACTGTAGGAGGCCGTACGAGGCGATGACAACTGACATGCATCGTGACGTTGCTTACATTGTGACGTAATGTAAAATGGTTCGATTACGAGGGGGCACACTAGAATGGCGCAGTGACGGGATAACGTCATTCAATTATTACGTCATCAAAAAACTATACCTTTATTGTCTGATAATGGGGTTTTTTCGATTGTTCTAACCGCTAGGCATCTTAGAAAGGCAGTTAAACCCAAATAGGATCACCTTTGTTGTATATTAGATAGTCTGCCATTAGAGTGGAAGGTTGGTGGGTCGATCCCCCTCCTCATGCCAAAAGATCTTTATTGTTACCATACTTGGTATTTGGCTATAATGGGATAAAACAACAACTTGTTGACTCTGAGTCAGTATACTTTGTATCGAGTTTAACTGCACTAATGTTTCCCCTGGACTAAAATTGGGTTTAATTTGGAGTAGTTCAAGCTTCACGCGTCCGTGCATTAAATCATTATCAGTGTCGCTTAAATGGGTAACCAAGAAGTCAAAAATGACTTATAGAAGATTCAACACGCAGATTCTTGTTTAACTGACAGAGAAAAAACTTGATATTTTACTTCAATCTGCTGACGTCTTTGAAAACGATCATGTCGGAATTATTATTTGAAACCTCAGCATTCTAAATGTCACTTTAAAAACAGGTTACGAAATAAACTTTAAATTTCTTATTTGTGATTTTAATCTTTTTTTCAGACAACTTGCATGGAACAGTTAAGTAGAGAATAGATAAAGTACTTTTTCTGAGAAATGCAATTTGTAGTCATTTCAATACTTGCGATAAAATGTTTACGTGCCTGAAATACCAGCATCATTTGTCAAAGAAAAAAACAACTGTACATTTCAGCATCAGATGTGGGGAAAGCTTACGAAACGAAACGATTTATTTTCCTGAATACATCCTGCCGGGCAAAAGAAAGTAAATATCAATGTTTGATGGTAGCTGAATATGAAACAAAAACGAAATGGTTATTTATTGGTAGACTGTTTGATGCGAGTATCATATTTGTTTTGAACATAAAGTTTGCTATGTTTTTGCTCCCTGTTTTTAAGCAAGTATCGTTTGTAATATTTGGATCAAATTCAATTTTCCAATGTTTTCATTCATTTGCCCAGCAGTTTTCTTGATGTCAACTGATTCATTCTATACTTTTTCGAAGAACTAAATCCTATCATTTTACTAGGACATAGTAGCCTACAAAGAGTAGCTCTGTGGGACGCGTGTCCTTTGTCTGGAAGCACTCTTAGTGGGTTCGATTACCAAATTAAATTTTTCTCACCCATGTCAATAGGTTTGGTAATGCGAAAAACATCTACCTTTATGAATTGTTTCCGTTGTCTTAACACTATGGCTATATTAAGTAAATGTTTAGTACTAGCGTAAAAATAATTTTGTAGAATGAAGACTCGCCCCGTAATATTTTTTTACTTGAATAAATTGTATCGCGTCACACAGATTTTTTCTTATTTTTTTAAATGTATCCACCATACACGGTTACCATTTATGTAAAGTTATATATATTCATAATAATACGCCAAAGTCACTTTTAAGTGTCCATTGTACGATTCTGACTTTATGATGAGCGTGATTGTACAGAAAGCGTACGCCCGAGTGTGCATAACGGTTATCTCCCAATTGACAGACAACCATTTGACAGACAGTCAATTGACAGATACTGAGCTAGAAGGTTAATTAGGGTAACACCTACTGGTATAATGGAACAATCCACTGTCTAGTGAGTAGAGCAGGGTGAGCCTGAGACAGGTTCGTTACTGAGAAGTTTGATTGTGTGTAAATAGAACTTTGTTGTGATTAAATGATAATATGTCTTCTCTTCTCAAAATTGTTTCTACTATCAATTGCTATCGAATATGAAAACATGTTTGTTACTGAGAGGTTTGATTGTGTTTATTGATGGAAGTTAACTGAGAAAACCCTTTGTTTGAGAGATATGGACATGTACATGTACATCCATGGCCACGTTGACATGATTGTTTTATATTTATTCTAAATAAATCATAATTAAGTGTACTCGTCATATATCTTAATCTTGTGTGCAAAAAATTTAACTTCCTTATTTCATATGAATAATATTTAGTGCACATTTTTCTTTCACGTGAATATAACATTTAAATGATGCTACAGAATCGCAATTCTAATAGCTAAGGGAATATATTCCACATGTTAACCGCGGATGGAATAAAAAATTATGTTGAGTATCTCAGTCTTGTACATGATTGGTTAAATTATTGGAATTTCTTAAGTCATAGCTTGTCCGGTTGCCTATTACAGGTGAGAGTAAATCCTGAAGACAAAACTGGCGTTCTTCTATTTAGTAGGAACTTTATTTTCTGATATGCTCCAATCATTTTTGATGTCTTTTTGACACTGTTTTTAGCATGATGCCACCCACTACTGTTAGACGAGAAGGTTAATCTCAAATGTTTATGAAAAATCAACTATTTTTATATTGCAGCAATCAAAATTCAAATTAATGTCTTTTCGGCCATCTTTCGAAGTAAAAAATATAGCTTCAGTTCTTTTCTTGTGTTTTTATTGGGACTATTCCATTGTAATGTGTAGGAAACAGGTAGTAGCTAATCTGCCCACTGAACTGTAAATGTTGTTGTTTTAAGGCGTCTGCGAACTGCCTGTCTGCGTAATGCGAGGACACCTGCATAACAGATGCAGACACCAAAGGGAATCGCCCCTTCAGACGTTTCTGTTCCGTGGTGATTAAGGGTTAAAATTAGTCAAGAGCAGCCAAAGTACAATGTATGCGTGTCGTGAGAAGCTTAAATATGGTCGACTGGTTAACTTTGGTGACCTGATTCCGGTGAAGCCAATTCCGTTCTTCAAAGGAAATAGAATATGTGTAGTGTTTGCTCTACTGACTTCCCAAATACGAGGGAATAACTTCAAGGATATTTAGTTTCATCATTTCAAAACAAATACAACTGTTTTCCCCTGATCTCATCATAACTCGAACATGATGAGAATGGACTAAATCATTGAACTATGTGTTCAAAGCATCGTCTATGAGTTGGAAACTGAAACCTGCTGATTCAATTATAAGCCTATGGATATCCTCTTGTTTTGAAACGTGCACCACATTGGTAACCATTACTGTTTTCATCGTCTGCTTATCAAAAATAGGTATTTGAAATGATTAAAATATCGATAAATATATTTTCATTACTTCTAAACGAAACGAGCCACAATTTCGGCGTAATGGCCATTATCAGGCCTCGTTAAACATCAGATGGAAACATCAGATGTTATGAAAGATATTTTCCTGAGGAAAACAAATTATAAACTTTGAATCTAATTATTTAACCGCTGCTCAAAGTTACAAACTGACTTGTATGCAAAGTGAAGTAATGTCATTTATCCCAATCGATGGGCAGAAGATTTGATACTCATTTCCATCGCATACACTTCTAGAACAGTAACCAAAACATGCTTCAGTCCATGCAGATAGCATGCGTTTCCTGAATATAGATATAATCATGTTATCGGTTTAGGTCCTGCATGGATGTTTATGGCTTTTAGCTCAGATTTTAATACCGTGCGCAAACTTTTTTCAAAGGTTTCAATGTTACATCAAGTATGTATCATGAAACCTTTTGCTGAAAAATCATCATAGCTGAAAACCATGGATAGTGTGTCTTCCTGAAGTGTGTATCACATCTATGAGTGGCGGAACGTTTGACATTTTGCACTCTCTGTGAGTCTCCGCATTGCCTGTGATGGTCGAGACATGTATTGAGTATCTGGTTCATCCACTTGGCAGCCTGCCTGTAACGCGGTGGGGTAACCTAGTGGTTAAAGCATTAGCTCGTCACGCTGAAGACCCTGGTTCGATTCCCCACATTCATCTGAGATCATCCTTTACTATTTCTCATACCTTCTGTGGCACCTGCTTCACAGCTTCTTTTCAGACGATGCAACTTATTTTACCACCACAATGATACAATTTATATTTTTTTGCTTCACTTTTTACCCACTCGTATACGTCTACTTCATCCTTGATGACTATGTGTAGTGACCTGTTCTCATTTCACTATTTAGTTTTCAGTCTTATCAGAGGATATCTAGGATAGTTTCCAGTGAAGATCCGGATTGAAATTGGAGTTCAGCAAAACAAGCTTGTCGTAGGAGGCGACAAACGGGATTTGGCGGTGAGGCTCGCTGGCTTGGTTGACACATGTCATCGTATCCCAGATTGATGCTCATACTGTTGATCACTGGATTGTATGCTCTGGACTCGATTACTAAAAGACCGCTGTCATATAGATGGAATATTGCTGAGTGTGGCGTCAAACAAACAAACAAAAAGTTTTATCACAGTATCGTTGAAAAATGAACCTGTCGTCATGTTTCCTTCATATAGAATATAATAAATGTAAAAAAACCAAACACATTTAAGAAGCATTACTATCCGTTTCTTACTTTTGAATAACAATCTATGCATTTCGATGCATAAACAAATCAATCTAAGGTTGAATCCACAATTTGCATCAAACAAGATTCAGGGCGGCGGTGGTTGAAGCCCTCGCACGTCAAGCCAAAAACCCGGGTTCGATTCCCCACATGGTGCTATGCGTGAAGCCCATTCCGTGTCCCCGCCATGATATAGCTGGAATGTTGCTAAAAGTGGCGAAAACTAACAAGCCCAACCAAAGGCGCTACAATTATATATAAAGGGATTGTTAGCTTCCATCCGGTGCCCATTTGCAAGTCATTGGCTTTGAAATCATTTACTCACAATTTTTCTCCAATTTAAGAAAATTAATTAGTTTGCTGTATTGGAAAGTCAAAGTTAAATTCAAAAACGTCTCGTACTGTTTTCTGAAAGTGACATAAAACTGTTAATTATATCAATATCACATATGCAATTTATATTAAAAGGCTCTCCACTCGCCATATGAGCAAAACATTCTAAATTGATGGCAGAAATTCAATTTCTCTTCTTTCCTGTCGATTATATGTGTGAACAGTGCCTTTACCTCAACGTTTTATAATTCTTCGCAGCTATTCTCGTGAATATTTTTTGACAAGATGAGATAAGATATAATACCAGAAGGAAGCCCTTAGTCGTTTCAATTAAGTTGGACATATTTGTTTTTGCAACTATTTTCAACTGTTTCACATCTTACACTTGTATAAATCAATATTCTATTAAATGGTTCCTGAATGTCCAACACATTACAAACAAAAGTTGATATGACAGCCATTTCAAACGTTTTCAAAAGAACATGAAAAAGAGAGAGCATTTGGCATTTTCACAAAGGTTTCTTCTTGGTTAACATCAAATTTTCATTTTTCTTCAGAAGTGCTTTTCCTCCATCAATGTTTTCGCAAAGTCAGAGATCGACATGTAACTTTATCAAATGACAATGTTGTTATGACCAACAAAAAGTCACAAATTTAAATACAAATATGATGAATATGAGAGTTCGTTCTTTCTAACATATGTCATTATTCAGTCGAAGGTTTTAGATCGTCGAGGAAATGAATGTATTAATTCTTAGTTTGTGTTAATATTTGGGTTAAAGAAAACTTATTTCAGGCTGAAAACTAAAGCAAAAACACAACCAACATCACCTGACTGTTAAAAGAAAATTACATAAATTATGTTGCTAATTTTTCTTTTTCATGATAGCGCGAGTTGAATGTGTAAATGACATAAGAAGCAATTGAAACGCGTCTTATTGGAGCCGAACGCCATTGGTGAGGCGTTGTGTTCTGGTCTGTCTGGACACCAAGAAAGCTCCACAAGATATTGATGGTGCCATGGAAGCTTTCTGGCGTTTTGTCATCAGACGTCCAGGAGCTTTCTTGCGAACTGTGAGCCTAGATATGCGTGGTTGAAATATATTGATTCAACCCAAATGCCACGGCCCGTGTCGAATAGACGTCAAACGATCTTTCTAAGATATTAAGCTGCACTATCGTGTTTTGGCTAAAACAAGAGATGCACTCAAATAAGGTGTGTAGTGTTTGTCATTAAACTTGCAGATCAATTGAAAGTATCAACAACTAACTATTTCCGCTGTTAGAAAAGTGAATATATTCGAAAGGGACATAAAATATTCTTGTGATGGAGCCAGTTTAGATGGAATGGCACACGTGCAAACTTAACAGCGACTGTACATAATCTTCACTCATTTCAATTTGGGTTCAAAGGATATATATTCACTTCCCGAAAACGTTCGAAAAGATCAACTTTCCTCATGTTTTAAACCAATCTTTCACTGGATGTGCTGAATAGTTAATCTGAAATGCTATGACATACATTCTGTGATGATCTGAAATGACGTTAGTAATATCGGCCTTTATATTTAGTTATTTGGGGCAGAAAGAAGACATGACTGAATAAACACGTTAGAGCTGGTTTTCAGCTGCCGATGTTTGTCGTAAAAAGTGATTATGACCAACGGGATCCAGTGGTCAAGCACTCTGACTTTGCTGACACATGTTGAAATGTGAAGATCCGGGTTAGAATTGGTCTTCAGCAACTCTTGCTTGTCGTGGGAGGTGACAAAAGGGATTTGGTGGTCAGGCTCGCTGACTTGGTTGATACATGTCATCGTATCCCATTTGCGTAGATCGCTGCTCATGCTGTTGATCACTGGATTGTCTGGTTCAGAATATATTATTTACAGACCGCTGCCATAAAGTTGGAATATTGCTGAGTGTAGCGTTAAACATAACCCAACTAACCAACCTAAGTAAAACGTACTTTGTTCATGGATTGCAGGTGCTTCCGATCGATCGATCGATACAATTTAACTGCTCCTTTAGACAACACCTGGTATCATCACTGATTCAAAGTGAATGTCCGTTCAGGTAAATGTCAAAACTATTTTGCCTCTCACGTAAAATGAATGTTTCGGCTGCAAGCCGAGACTGATTAGTCTCTGGCGTTAACGTCTTGGATTTAATTGTAGTTTAATTAAATGCAACTTAGGTTTGTATAAATAGTACTCATTAATTATAGAGGCAGCTGGAAAACCAGATTCGATCAAGAATATCCAGAATTATTACATTTATGCCACTTGTGTCTCAACTGAAATATGTGTCATTAATCACTTGACCCGTGCAAATCCGGGTTAGTATTGGTCTTCAGTAACCCATACTTGTCGTAAGAGGCGACTAACGGGATCGGGTGGTCAGGCTCGCTGACTTGGTTGACACATGTCATCGTATCCCATTTGCGTAGATTGATGCGCATACTGTGGATCACTGGATTGTCTGGTCCAGACTCGATTTCTAAAAGACCGCTGTCATATAGCTGAAATATTGCTGAGTGCAGCATAAAACTAAACAAACAAACAAACAAAAAGCTCTTTAATGTTCAGTTTTATGACAGTATCGTTGAAAAATGAACCTGTCGTCGTGGTTCCTTCATGAAAAATATGATAAATAAATGTTCTTGCTGTTAATCACTGGAGTGTCTGTTCCAGACTCGATAATTTCCAGACCGCCACCATATAGCTGGAATATTGCCGACTGCGGCGTTTAACAATAATCAGTCAATCATTAAATCGCTTAGTCCAATTTTAGTAACACAAGATACCCATGTGTTTCCTGTACAGATCTGAATATATCACTGTCACAATGAGTGAGTGGGTATGATTT